CAATCAATCAATCAATCAATTTTATTTATAAAGCACCTAAAAGCAGCTCAAAGTGATGTACAGAATTATAAACAATAAACCCACAAGATAAAAGCAAACAATACACCAAAAAACAAAAATAAAAAACAATTATATGGAAAATGTATAGACAGAACAGAGTTGAACCAGTTCAGGAAATGCAGTTAAAAAGATTTGTCTTGAGCCTGCTCTTAAATATAATATTCTCTGCGGTCCTCAGGTTCTCTGCCAAACTATTCCACAGATGGGGGGCCATAGTACTGGAAAGAAGCCTCACCACAAGTGTGAGTTCTGACTATTGGAACTGTTGGTCCAGTGCCAGAGGACCTTAGGGTCTGCGGGGGTTCATAAGGTAATAGCAGCTCTGCAAGATAAGATGGTGCAAGACCATCGAAACGTTTAAAAACCATTAAAAGAATCTTAAAATCGATTCTGGGGCACACAGGGACCAATGCAATGATTTTAAAACAGGCGTAATATGAGCCTGCCTTCTGGTGTTGGTTAACACACGAGCAGCAGAGTTTTGTAACAGCTGAAGGCTGGACAAATATTTCTTAGGGAGACCAGAAAGTAGTGCGTTCCAGTAGTCTAAACAGCTAGAAATAAAAGTGTGCATCAAAGTTTCAGTATTGGTGAGAGAGAGAGAAGAGGGTGGACTCTGGCTATATGTTTTAGATGGTAACATCCTGTTTTGACTATATGTTTGATATGTGGAATAAATGTAAGCTCAGAGTTATAAATAACCCCCAGCTTCTTACTTTTTTTTTGGAAGGCTTTAAAGACAAAGTTTGTAATTTCTGAATTGTATTTTCTTTCTGAACCTCCGGTCCAATGATTAAAACTTCTGTTTTGTCCTGGTTTAGCTGGAGAAGGTTCTGTGCCATACAGGTCTTTATGTCTGAAATGCAATTAAAAAGTGCAGTGACTGGCTGGGGGTCATCATGAGATAATGAGATTTATATCTGTGTATCAGCATAGCTGTGGAAATTTATCCCGTGGCTCCTGATGACCCCATCAAGCAGCAACATGTACAAATTAAAAAGTAAGGGGTCTAAAATAGAGCCTTGGGGGACGCCATAGTTAGCGTCATGGTGACCAACCAGGTGTTGTAATCTATTTAAAACAATTTGATGATCTATTGTGTCAAAGGCTGCACTCAAATCCAATAGCACAAGGACTGAGAGTTTGAGTGAATCCAGATTACACCTTAAATCCTTTACAATTTTTAATAGGGCTGTATCTGTACTGTGGTTCGTCCTAAACCCAGATTGATACTTTTCTGTGTCATTTAAAAGTTTTATTAATTGAATAAAAACAAGCTTTTCTAAGATTTTTCTTAAGAATGGTAAGTGGATACAGGTCTATAATTATTAAAAACACTAGGATCTAGATTACTCTTCTTCAAAAGGAGCTTCACCACAGCCATTTTAAAGGCAATGGTGAGAACACCCATCCGAAGAGAACAATTTGCAATATTTAAAATTTCATTCTCAAAAATCTTTAAAATGAATGAAAAAGTGATGAGGGAATTGGGTTTAAGAGGCAGGTGGTTGGTTTGACTTGTGAGAAAACTCTGCCGAGCATCTCTGCATCAACCACAGCAAACTTGTCCAGTGTTTCCTCTAGTAAAAACAATCAACAGATTTAAAAACAGAATTTTACTCAGATAAAATATTATCTCTAACTGACTTGATCTTACCTCTGAAGTGATTTGCAAACTGCTCACAAAGAGAGTTAGTTGGAGTATTTGAAGAAGCAGTAAAGTCAGGGTAAATCAGATTATCAATGGTGGAAAACAAAACTTTGGGATTATTTTTGTGACTGTTAATTATTTTGGAAAAATATGCATTTCTTGGATTCTGACAGCAGATTTGTAGATATTAAGCTGTTTGCGCATTATTTGATAGTCGATTGTTTTTTTATTTTTCCTCCATTTCCTATATGCTTTCCTACAATTTACTTTTAGTTTTTTATGTCATCAGTTTTCCATTGGCATACTCGTTTATTAAAACATTTTTTGAAAATAGCGGAGCTACATGGTCCAGGTTTGTTTTCAGTTTGTTGAAAAATTGATTGACCATTGAATCACAAGAAGCAGTTAAAATAAGAGGGGAATTTTAGTTAAACTCTCTAATAAAATGATCAATCACCTCAGGGGTAAGATGGCACCTCCTGACAGCTCAAACCGTGGCCTCCTACTGACTCAAATCAGTGACATTAAAAACACACAATAGTGGTCAGCACAGCCACGTCAACAACAGAGGACACACCAGAGACCAAGCCATAGGTAATAACAAGGTCAAGGGTATGTCCCCTGTTGTAAGTTGGCTGCTTGATGCGCTGAATAAAATCCATATAGAGTTTCTAAAAACTGTTTAGACAAAGAGTCTGATGGATTATCAACATGTAGATTAAAATCACCAGTCACAATAATCTTATCTTATCTTACTTTGTATTTTAGCATGAATAAAACATAAAAACTCTGAAAACTCAGTCATTAAATCAGCAACATGTCTGGGTGGTCTGTAAAACAAAGTCACGATGCTCAAAAGAAGGGTACTGGTCAAATGAAATCTGTTTAACAGCCAGTAAATCATTAGATAATGAAGCAGTGCCACCATCACCAGAAAATTTAAAACCAGGTGAAGAGGCCTCAGTAAGAACAACTGGTGCATCTGCGCCTAACCAAATTTCTGTTAAACAGACATTTCAATTTAAAATCTACAAAGTAAAATCAAATCATTTATAACAAAATATTTGTTTAAAAGAGAGCAGACGTTTAAAAGAGCCACATTTAGGGTGACAGGTGAACTGTTAACAGTAGCTGTGGGTGATAATGTTTTGCTAAAGGTCTAAGATTATTAAAGTTCATTGAACGAGTACGGTTATGTATGGTTCACTCCCTTTACGTAGTCCAAACTGAAATTAATTGGTTGATGGGAACAGATGGTCCTGGTCCAATGCTATGCACATACCAGTTAGAAGAGGAACTATAAGAGCCAGGACCATGTAGCCATCAGTCAGTAGCAGACTGGTCAGATGTAGTGACATGGTTACCAGACATGGATGGTGAGGTTGTGTGCTGTACCTTGTAGTCCAGGTTGGCAGTTAGAATACGGGTACCTGAGTTGTTCAGATTGAGGCCATCAGTCCCAAAAAGATGTCTCCTTCCCAAGAAAAAAAGTTGACATTTTGGAGGATGCAAACAGAAAACAGCCTTCAGGCTTTAAGTCTGCTGAAGTGGCCTATTCATTTGCCACAAGTGGGGAGGACCAGAGTTAAAAACTTGCAGTTGAAACTGTAGAATGGCGCCAAGTAGATGAATAAAATCCTGTTTCAAATGTTCAGACTGTTTGGGGATGTCATTGGTGCCTATATGGATGATGAGTGGATGCGATTTAATATTTCCAGGATTTTATCAGGCCTGGAAAAGATAGTGTAAGAGCTCCCTTCATACTCACGTTCTTTATAATAGAGCCTCATGCATGAAGGGTATAGTAAATGACTTTTTTTGTTGGATGTTACCAAACAACTTCTGTACACACATCTATTGAAGCAGAGAACACTGAATATCACTTTCTGTTCAATAAACAGAAAAAAAAAGCTTGAATGTATTTCACTGACACATGCTACTGTTGACTGTAACACAGCAGTACCCCCCAACTATCGATTATATTTATGTTTTTCGGTCTTAAATTGTATTCAAGTTGGCCTTAAAAATGTCTTTAAAAGTTTTAAATTTGATTTATTTCAGCATCAAATAAAAACTCAAACAAAACGAGCTGTTTGACCGTGTGTAGTTAATTGTGTGACTTTGATTGAGCTCTTTTGTTAAAAATAGGATTATTGTGCTGCAAAATTACTCCAACCACTGGGAAGAACAATTGCAAACTGAGACCTGGGACACAGTGAGAATCATTACACCAGCATCAGACGACAATAACTCCTGAAACAAATGAAGTCAAATGAAATGCCTCCACTGTGACACAGAGCTGGAATGGTTCTTTTCTGAGGCTCAACTTGAATGAGTATTTTGATCAAAAAGAAAGTGAAACATTTCAAACAGCAGTTTAATCATTTAACTCTGTTAGACATGAAGAAAACTGAGTGGAATATCAATTTAAACTTAGATCGTACTGGGCTTAATTACTACAAAGAAAACAAAATAAAACTATGACATGCCTCATTTAGTGGTGACACAGTGTTCACATGTGAGCATGTAACTTTTAGACTCGTCTCAGTGAGACATGAAGGAGTGATGACCAGGAAAAACACAGCTTGGAGAACATGTTTAGAAGGTCTAGTGCACGGGTCAGCATCATGCAAGACTGAAGCCACATGTGACTTTTCAAACCTTTTAAAATGTCTTATGTACCTGTGGGGAAAAGAATCAAAATAAACATGGACCAACATAATTTTAGAAATAAAACTAAAATAGAAAACGATACGTTTAGCAGTTTATCTATATATTAATATATGAATATTTTGCATCTTTAGTTCTCGTTAAACTTGTTTCTTGCTTAAATGTATTTTTATGTAACGACAGTAATTTATTTAAGATAAGGGAAACCATTTACTGAGTTTGTTCTTTTATTTCTTCTTTATTGAGGATTTCTGTGTGATTTGTGAATGGTCAGAGGCAGCATCAAGACAAACAGGTCTTTGTTGCCATTTTGTAGAACTATTTTAGAAAATACTCATTTTATCAGTGTAGATATTCCACGGCTTGCTGAGTTGATACAGCACTTCATGTGTCTTAGATCTGAAAAACCTCAATCCGCTTACACGAGTGATGTTCTGAATCCGAAAGAGACGGATGATGATGTCTTCGTCAGCGGTCCTGGAAAGAAGCTCCACTGTCATGGGCCCGAACTGCTGTAGCCCTGGCTCCGGCCAATACTGCAGACAGGGCTGGGAGGAAACAAGAAAACAGCAAGTCATTAGCCCACAGGACAAATCATTATGTCAGCTGCAAGTGATGGTGAAGGCAGTAACGAGACACCTGAGTATTGACAGCAGAGACAATTTGCTTAAACGGCAATGATTACCTACAAATAGCAGCTGTTAATTAAACACTGAGAAAAAAAAAGATCCACCGATGATGAAAACTAGCCTTTACATCAGCAATAGTAATCTAGCTTGAATAAATCATGAGGCCAAATCATTATCATTAGCACATTATAAATTATTTGAGCAAGTGACCTTGGCAGTGCCCAAGAGAGTCGAACAGGAAGTTAACTGAGAGGCTGGACACACTCAAAGCCAAGGTCTCCCATCATCACTGTTTCAAGAACACATGCAGCCCTGCTGAACAGCCTAGAACAACAACACAGGGGAGCAGTGATGACGTCCCAATTTGTTCTGGAGTTACCTTGGGCACATGTTCAAAGTATTTACAGGTGATAATGAGCAGGAGAGGACATAAATATTTATTTATACTGACAGGAGACAGTCAGCCTCATCTCAGGAGGACAAATCGAGTGCATGAGCTGCCTTCTCAATAATAGGCCATTTACACTGACAAAAATATCCATCCATCCATTATCTTTTAGCCTCTTCTTCCATTTTGGGTCATGGGGGTCGTTGGTGCCCATGTCCAGCCATTACTGTGTAAGAGGTGGGGGACACTCTGGACAGGTCGCAAGTCCATCACAGGGACACATAGAGACAAACGAGACAAACAACCATTCTCTCTCTCACTCACACCTAGAGACAATTTAGAGTTACCAATCAGCCTAACATGCATGTTTTTTTTTTTTTTTTTTTTGGTCTGTGGGAGGAAACTGGAGTACCCGAAGAAAACCCACACAGCACGGAGAGAACATGTAAACCCCACTCACAACCATTCACTCTCTCACTCTCACCTAGAGACAATTTAGAGTTACCAATCAGTCTTAGATATCATATCTTAGATCTTACTACTGTTTTTCTTTTACATTTTATACTTTTGTTGGATGTAACTGGGGCCCTGTGTACACAATTTAGTTCCACCACATGTACCATATATGGTGCGTATGACAAATAATGAACCTTGAATCCTTTGAGTCTAACATGCATGTTTTTGGTCTGTGGGAGGAAACCGGAGTACCCAGAGAAAATCCACGCATACACCAAGAGAACATGCAAACTCCACCCAGAAAGGCCCCCAAACTGGGATTTGAACCAGTGTAACCTGCTCGCTGAGAGGCAGCAGCTCTACCAGTTGCGTCACCGTGCTGCCCTGACAAAAACAATAAAAATAATACTGTCCATTTTCACTTTAGCTAAATACAGTATCCACCTCTTTTAATTATCATACATGTCACTTCTTAGATTTTCAATAAATTAGACTGCTTTTTCATGACTAAGGATGTACAAGGAAATTCTAATGGGTTTTTACAAAACTAGTTCAAATTTATATTACGTCTCATATAGCCAGCCAATAAACACACACTAATGTTGCCCCCTTCTCCTCCTCTCCTGCTTCTTAGACTGTACTTGCAACATGTACAGTTATGTTGGGAAATTATTCCAGTCTCCTACTCAAAACGTTATTGAAAACTAAGGCTACATGAGCAAAGGGTTGAACTGTCAATTCCACTGTCAGTGTTAAACAGGGAGGAGGAGGGAGGTGGGACGAGAGCGACAGTAGAAGGAGGATGAGCTGCAGCTGACAGGCATGGTGGAAATGTTGAGCAGGAATGAGAAATGGCACAGTGACAAAACGGTGATAGGAAGACATCAGAACAAACCTGCCCACAAGCCAACATGGAGCAGAGTGATAAGGATGTGCTAATAGCGTGAGAGCAAATGGAACGGACAGCCTGAACGCAGAAATAATATTTGTTCATGGAGTGACAAGGTAGACGTTTGATGACCCTTTCTCACTGTGCTGTGAGTCACATTCATTCCTCTTCTTTTTGAGAAACAGAGAACATCCACTGACCGGCTACTTTATTAGGAACACCTGTTCAGTTATCTTGACAACACAAATACTATATCAGCCAATCACATGGCAACAACTCAATGTATTATGGCATCTAGATGTGATGAAGGTGACCTGCTGAAATTCAAGCTAAGTGTCAGATGGGAAAGAAAGGGCATTTAATGGATTGGTGTGGTGGTTTGTGCCAGACAGGCTGGTTAAGGCTGGCTGTGGCTGGTTATGTTCATGCTGAGGGGGAAGTGGTGGCGCAGAGGTTAGAGAAGGTGGGCCTGTGATCGGATGATTGCCGGTTCAAGCCCCGGTACCGACAACATCAAAAATGTGGGTAGTTTAGGTGAAGCACCAACACCTGCCCCCACCCTCATTCGCCCCACTCTGGGCCCATGAGCAAGGCCCTTAACCACCATCTGCTCCCTAAACAGGTCTCTCTTGAAAATGAGTTCTCGTGGCTCAATGAGACTACCTGGATAAATAAAGGGTAAATGAAAAAAAATATGCTGCTGTTGTTACGCCATATTGTTTTGCATTATTAGTGTTTAGCATATATCGTAGATATTTTAACGTACCGTCTGGTGTTTGTTTAGTGTATATCTTAGATCTTTATGTACTGTTTTCCTTTTACACTTTATATAATTTTGCTATTGTTTGGTGTAAATGGGACCCTGTGTACATAATTCATTCCACCTCATGTACTACATGTGGTGAAATGACAATAAACCTACTTGAACTTGAAAATATTTTGGAAATTGCTGATCCTATGAAATTTGCCCACACAACTCTAGGGTTTACAATCTGAAAATAAAAATGTCCAAATCAGTGGTAGTTGTGTGGATATAAATGTCTGGTTTGTGTCAGAGAGCAGAAGAGAATGGGCAAACTGATTAGAGATGATAGAAAGGCAACAGCTGTTCAAATAATCACTCCTATTAACCACAGTCTCTTGACTACCATCTCTAAACATGTAACACATCCGTGGGCTACGGCATCAGATGAACACACCAGGTGCCACTCCTGTCAGCTAAGGACCGAGGCTAAAATTCACACAGACTCACAAAAATTGGATAATAAGAGTGTAGACAAACATTGCGTGGTCTCCTGAGTCTCGATTCATTGCACTCC